TTTAGACTGTCTGCGGCGAAGGTTAACTAATTAGCTGTTGCGTCTCATATTATTGACTTTTCGCAGGCTTTCCCACGTTTTCTTATTTCCAGGAAAAAGGCATCACAAAGACTCTAATAAACATTTTTTTGCTTCAAACTGTAGGAGAGTTTTGTGGGTCTATTGTTGTGTCGTCACGCAATACAGAAGTGTTGTGTGACGACACTAAGAACTGCTGTTGAGCAGACTATTGTTGGGTGAATTCGTCAGAAAATAATATTTCAGTGTTGGTGTTTGCCTGAAATAAAATATCAGTGAATATATGTATGTTATTTTTTCAGCTCAAACCACAAAGCAACCAGAGTTGCATTCTTTGAAACCAATATGAAGGGCACTTAATGAGGGCTAACAATATCGTAGTAAATATTTTGAATATGACAGGCTTTGATTTAAGACATTGCTGGGTTGAATATAATTTGCTGGTATGGACTTTGAGTCCCTAATTAAACCTGTGTCTATGTTATCTCTCATCTTTAAGTTAGTTGTCTCTTCTCCTTAAATTATACCTTTCTCCAAAGTTATAGCTCTTTCCTTGAATTCTGTACAGGACCTTATCATCACTGCTCACTGAGTGAAGAAATAAACATCATTAGGAGGCATACGTTCCTTATTTTGTTATCAGGGTTGATTTAGGTATTGGTCACACAGGAAAACTGGCAGTCAAATTCTTTCAAGACTATCAACCATTTTGAAGCTTTATGATGCTGGCTATCTTTACTATGCTTTCTGCCTGGAAGAGAAGGAACACCTTGATTAATACAGCAAATCTAATATTTATAGAGCTATGTCTCTCTTTTTTTTTATTAGGGCAGTGGTGTTACAGTTGAAACTTTCCGCCATTATTCCTCCATGGATCCACTGAAAGATATTGATTGTTTAAATGGTGGATGACTCTAGCTCAGGGCTATTTACTCAGTTGGTTTATCTAGACGGTGTTTATTCCGTGGTTGCCATTTTAAAAATGTTTCCCTCACGGTCCCAATTATAAGAACTTTCTGACCAATTAAGTGATGAGAATGTTCCTGTTCATTTCACAATTTTTAAGTGAAGGAAGAAGGATAGTAATAGAGAGATGTGACCCTTTTTTGTCTCCAAGAAGGAGAAAAGCTTGAATTGGTATTGACTGATTACCACTGTCATAATAAGGCAAAAGTTGAGTGACTGTGTTTTCTTATCAGCAGCACTGTTCGGCTGAAAGAGGCTCAATGTCAGGAAGTCCACTGACCACCCATGTGCTCGACACAGCTCGAGGGGTACCAGCTAGAAACCTACAAGTACAACTGTACTTTGAAGAAATCCGACCAGACAGTCGCATGTGGAAACACATTGCATCAGGGTAATATTCAATAACCATTGACAAAAATTTCAGCTGTTATTTAAAAGAATAAAATGTCCTGGGCAGGAGGCTCTTGTTAAAGAAATGGGAAAACCTCATGCACACGTTCGTCAAACATGTAGACCTAATTTTTAAATCAGAGTATATTATTTTTATTTATGTTCTTTTTCAGATATTATTATAAATACTTACTGTGGGTGTTGTCAATATAGATATTTCCTGCTACATTTTGATCTGCCCAATTTTTATGGGCAGAGGCACCTTCAAGTTTCTGATTCAGATCTTGACTTAAGGGGCTTGGGGAAGCTCCCCGACTGAAATAAAGTGTTTTGGCCCCTTAGCCCTGTGAGCCTAAGTTTTGGTCTTGAAATAGGTCGGGGAGTCCCTAGGCCGTCCCTTACATCTGCTGCGGTTTTCGACATACAAATTCTTCAGACTGTTCTCTATACATTTTCTTAGAGAATAAGTTGAGAGAATTTGATAAACGATCAAAGCATTTCCCCTTTACTGATAATTTAACGGGTTCTCATAACCGTTTCCTTTGATTATGCACTGATTTTGTTTGGAGAAAATTGGTGTTGGTCGCTCTTGGGACCTCAAAGGTTAATATCAGACCACTTTACTCGCTGATCACCTCCATTATTTTAATGGTCAGAAGGTTAGGTGCTACAACAGTACTGCAACATTTAATAATACAAATATTCCTTTTTTTGCAGAGTTACGAATGGCGATGGACGGATCCCTAACTTGCTGACACAAGAGCAGTTTATTCCTGGAAAATACATGATAAGATTTGAGACTGAAGCATATTTCAAAGAGACTGGCATTTCTGCATTCTTCTACCCTTATGTTGAGGTAATAAATCTAAATGTCCCTCCAGGCGTACAAGTAAAGCTACCAGGATACCCCCATTACTGGTTTCTTGTGGACCAAATCATCATTAATTTCTCTGATTTCAATACACTATTCCAGAAATTGTACTCCTTAAGGTACACAAGGGTAATCTACAACTCCCCACCCCTCCACCCATGGGGCTCAGTACCCGGGTCCAGTTTTTGGTTGTTCAAAAGATTGCTAGCCCCTTCCGGTGGATAAGTGTTAGTGAAACCATTGCATCATCCACTGAATAGAGTTTTATCCAGTGGATAACATCATTATTTTATGGACTTACCTTTTAAACAACTGGGGCCAGAACTTTCAGTCAGATCCCGGACAGAGGTTGCCAGTCAATTTGCCCAAAGTGAGTACTTGGGGCCGTGTTGTGCAACAGCTTTAACAAATTAATTTTGAGTCACATAACTTTTGGGCTTTGACTGTAAAGTAGGGCAGGACGTGTTAGTCAACAATGTGCAAGAGGCTAGACTATTCTGATAGAATATCAAAATCATACACCTTGTTCCAAAGTGGTGGCAAATTCAGTTGTTCATATTTCTCCATGATAATTGGCCCTTAATGTCTTGTTCCAATGTTAGGTTTTTTTTTATTCTGCACATACAGAGCAATCAAGGCAATGAGGGATAATTGAAATTAGTATGAAAGGAAGGCGATATTGCTGCCATTTTTTAATTAGGTGTATGACAGTGTTAGGGTTCCAAATGATTTTCCTTCCATCTTCCCATACCTACCACATAATTATGCAGTACTAAAAAAAAAATTATTGATTTCCAGCTTCTACTTTGGGCAAGCAGCTCCCACATTTTGCTTGTCTTAGTCAATGATTTTTTTAGAGGATGAGTTGTCTGTACCCATGCCTATTGGACAAGTAAGCTTAAGTTACTCGCCCAGCAGGAAAATTCCACTTGTCCCAGACTAGCTGATGGTATTTTTTTCCAGCCCTGCACATAGGAAAGTACTAAACACTCTTTTTGCCACATTGCTCATTTAAACTTTAATACTTCGCCAGTTTTATGAACAGATTTGTATTTTTCATTTATCTGTAGATTGTGTTCCATATCAGTGATCCTTCTCAACACTACCATGTCCCATTGCTCCTTAGTCCTTTCTCTTACTCTACCTACCGAGGCAGCTGAAGACTGGAAGTAACAAGTTGATAACAATGCTAGAAGACATTCCTTTAAATCAGGATTGCCAAGAATACTCTTTTTACTCCAGTTTTTCTGTTGTTGTGATTGCACTCTACCACCCAGTCAATCAGTCCTTATTAACAATAATGTCCACTCTCTGGTAAGTGTTCAGTCAACGGATTGAAATGGAGTGAGCTAGTGGAATTATTTGAATACCGTGGAGTTTCCGTTGTTGATCATAAGCTTATGAAAGCTGGTTTAGGGTCAACTCTCTGAGAAACAGACCCCATGGGGACTAGCATTAAGTGTCCATCTTAGAACTGAGGGCTGATAGATAACAATTATCCCATCTATAGCCTGCAAGCAAGCTTTCCATTTGGGGAAGTCACACGTGAAAGGAGCTACAAGACTGGGAGTGGGAAAAGCTGCAGCTCACTTCACACACTAGAAATGGATAGCTTGCTCCCAGGCTATTACACCTGATAGTCCTACATTATCTTGACTACTGAGAATACTTCTGAAAGGAATTAAACTTATGTTTCCAGCTGCTATTGCAGGCTTTATGTTGACAAAACAACTTAAACAGGTAAACTACATGGTTTGTCATGCTACATTATTTCACTTTTAAGGTCGCTTGCAGGGGAGGTCAATTTGTAAATAGTGCAGCCAGCCTTTGATGTGGCATCTCTGAAATACAGCCTACTGTGTTGTCATTTTATAAAAAAAAGTTACACCTTTTTTTCCAGTTGCGTTTACTCATTATGCATTATTTGACAATAAACCACCTTTTTCCCAGGTCTATGTCTACATTATTTTTGCCATTCATTCATGACTTCTGGCTTCAAACCTCAGTGCTTTTCATGCACAGTTTCTGCCAGGTTTTAGTGAACTCTTTATAGTGACCCAAGCTTAAAGCCTCTGGAACAGAGGACTATTGCTTTGATAGCCAGTCACAGGCATTGTTGATACTCTCACTGTAACTATGGTTCATTGGTCACTATCAAGACGTTACTGAGACTAGAAACTGTGCGTGAATAGTCTCAGTAAATGCCATAAATAATATTCTTAAAATTCCCATTTGGGGGTTGCTTCATGAAAATCCAAGTTTTGTAATTACCTTTTGTTCTGCATTTGTATTGTATTTTTACGCACAAAAGATAACACAAAAGTCAGGTTTACATTAGGCATCACCACGGTAGTTTAACGAATATTGTGTATTTTCTGCTTGGGCCAATTAGTCTCTGGTGACAGGTATTTTTGGTGCATACATTTGGTACAACTGTACCACTAAAAAAGTTCATCATGCTAACCACAGGAAGAGGAAAGAAGACACAAAAAAGACTTTTCAACTGATTTTGTCATTAAAACACAAACACTTGTGTGGCATAGTCAATAACACTTTATTCGTTTCACAAAAAGCCCTCACCCTAAATGTTACCCCCTTTAAAGAACACTCCGTCTGGTCATTTAGACAAGAATTTAAGAAAACTAAAACAGGAACCAACTGTAAGAATGCTGAACTAGAGATGAGGATGCTTAAATGAGGGCCTTGTCTTTCTTGCACTTCAAGACTCCCACTAATTTGAACCGAAAAAAATATTGTTAAGTCACCATGAAGTGGTAGTTACAAAATTTGAGCTTGTCACATTTCCCTAAATAATTAAATAGCAGAGTTAATTCTGAACCAAAACGGTAGAGTCACTCAAGGTAAGAATTAGACTCCAAAAGTGACAAAATAATAATTCTTTTTAACACTGTAAAAACTCTCTGAGAAAACCAGAATTTTTTATGTTACACCTTTAATTTTTCAATAATATCTTATTAAATATAAAATTGTCAGGGTTCTTGGAACATTTTTATGTACAACTGTATAAAATTTGAATCTTTTTACCCTTGAAATGACAATATGTGCACTAGATTAAAACTACATTTAAAGTTCTAGTGATTCATGGGTTGTCTAGAAACATTTCACACTACAGGCGAATCTTTGTTTACATTTTTGCCTCATTAGCATATGCTTTTTATTCTCTGATCAACCTATTAAAATAAACTCTGAATGTCAAAAGAACATAACAATTTCAGTTGTCAGTGAAAATTTGAGCCTGACATACCAAATACTTTTAGAGAAATTTTCTTTTAAAAACTCAAAACTTTCAAAAGAATGTATGGGTTATTAACGTCTTTGCCACCCAGCAATTTTGCAGTTTTCAGTGGTAGCTATTTCCTTTGCTGTTGCTCACAAAGAGCTAAAAATAACACAAATTGCTCAAATTAACCAACTGTTTAAATTGTTGAATTCAATATTATTTGTGCCTACAATGACACCTCTATGGGTTTACTCGTATGCACATGAGCAAAAATGTAAACAATGACGTCAGCAAAGATTCGCCTATATATTATACATGTACTAGCAGCCTACCAATAATATACAATTTAAAAACAACACTGAACGAATAAAAATGAATGTACTGCCTGCATAAAACCAGTCACTATTTTACACAAACTTTGCACAGTGTCTTTAAGTCTTTCTTTTCCCACAAAAAATTTCTTTCATGTCATTTGCTGTCAACATTTATACTGAAAAAATAAAGTACTTGTTACTCAAGCTTCACTAAATCACTGTTCAGCCAAAACATTAAGGATGTCAATGTGAGTACACATTTACTGTAGTGTATAGCCCCCTGGTTTCATGGAAGGTCATCTTTACTTAAGCAATGAACTACAGCTTCATACGTTAAAAAGACGATCGCTGTGTTCGGAACTTGTCGAAGAAGGTGAGTACCTAGCCCACCATAAAGTCCAGCTCTTCCTTCTTCACGGAATATTTTCCTAAAAGCTTGAAAAAATGAGTGGTATCTTCTCTTTCCGTCCAGCTCTTTTTGTCGTAACCTTGTCCTGATCACTTCATGAGGATACGCTGCAATGGATGCTATGCACTTGGAAGTTGCCGCAGCCATCATATATTGAAAGAAGTCTATGATGTTTTTCTCGCTAGTTCCTCGCACCTTAAAGTGATGTCTTTGAAGTTTAGCTTTGATGTGTTCATAAATAACAAAATGAATGACAGTCTCACTTGTCCCAAAATATGTTGCAGTTAGTCCACGATAAAAACCCTTTAATCCATCTGTCTTCCAAATACTATGAATGAGTTTTGTTATCTGTCCTCTTGTTGTGTTTCTGAAATAATCAACATTACTTATTAGTACAAGAAGCATGAATTCATAGCAAAGAATCTAAGCATGTCAAAGTAACACTATGAGCTAAAAATAATACATTCAATCCAGAAATTGTCCTCACCTTCAAATACTTTAAAATAGTTAAATGCATCCAGCTATTTTTGATACATCACATTTTTTATGACAACCCCTTTCAAAATAGCATAAAATATACCTATGTTTGTGATTTGACTGGAAATTACGAGAAGTTTCTACCCATAGGGCAAGAACATCTGAATATCTATAATCGCTACAGCCATGTGATATACAATGCCTTGCTTCATTAATAATTATTTTGTGAATTAATAATACTGCATTTTATCAATATTCTCCCAGTACTCACTTATTATCAAGTTGAAGTCTTGTTTTCACAACCCAAAGTGGACTAGACAATGTTGAAGTGACAAAACCTATGAACAAAAAGGGCATTTGTTAGAGTGGATGAGGTACTGATTTACTATACAGCAAAAACAGAAAAACAGTGAGAAAACTGTTGACAACAGAATATTTAAAAGATGGCTATTAAAATTTGTTTTTGACTGGGTGGTCTATGTGTTTTTATGTACCAATGATAAACTATGGTATAGAGCCTTTTCGCTTGCATGGCTAGCAAATTTATTAGAGCAAGAGAACGTTTTTCTCAAAAGAGAAAGGCTCAACTTCCACAAGACTGGTTTGGGAACAGACATGGCTGCCATTTGATTGTTTTGGGGCACCAACATGAAGAATTGCACTGATGTTCTGTAAGGGTATTCTTTACCCAGGCAAGAAACTCAAATCATCAGCAAAAATTATTCCAGAGCACTTCCCAGCTGACAGGAGGCTGGCATGATGCAGTCAAATGATAAAGACATTTACTCGTTGTCTAAGATTTGGACGTGCCCTGCTGAGTGGGTAAACAATCTCAGATGTGTAAATCAAATGATAAGAAAAATTTACAATGCTAACCTGCAGAAAGAGCCGAGCCAATGTGTACAAGCTTGCTGTCTCGAAGCACCACGCCGCTGTTGTTGAGTGCATGTTTGGCATTTGCATACACCATAAAGTACATCGCTCTGGATGGTGCGACACCGACCAGTGTGGGTCCAAGACCTTTAAACAATGCCACGACTCCTTCAGTCTGTATGATGTGTCTTAAGCAAGAAAGGATGCCAACAGGTCTTGTAGGGGAAATCGCCACTGGAATTGTCCATACCCCTGAACCTGAGGCTGTTGGACACAAAACATGTCTAAAAGTGGGCACTGAGGACTAAAGAACAAATAAAATGATTTGTTAGACAATAACGTCACATAATGACAACTAATCAAATTACTTGTCAGATGTCTTGGAAACAATGGGCATCAAGTCCTGACAACAAGTTTCTTCTTGTGACATGGACTCAGCACATTGGCAGTTCTTCCCACAATAAAGGAAACTTGTCACAGAGAAAAATTCTGCTGTGCAGAGATTTTCACAAAAATTGTACATATTACACAAGGGAATCTTCTCCGAAATTTATCCTTGAGTTGTGTGGTTGAGACATGCCAACTGATCCAATCCACCTGACAGAATGGTTTGTCACAGAAACAGGCCACAACAACTTGTTGCCTAATAGGGACCTTTCGACTGAGCGAGAACATGAACTTGTGTCACATGTCACACCAATCGTGTCCCTTCCAGCTTCATGTACTAGTCAGCAAAAAGAGGTGAGACCAGAAACGTCCCCAGAATTCTGACTAATCTCAATCTTGCCTCTGTAGTCCAATCTACAGGTTGCTAGTGTGTCGCAACACTGTAAACAAACATCATACCAATTCATTCCAATATCGAAACGGGCTACATTTGAAAAACAGCTCGTTCTTGGCCAGCAAGAGCTGACTTTCTTGGAATACAGACAAGCCCTGGCAGTATAGCAGAAATTCTACAACTGTTTATGCATCCGATTTTGACCTTCAAATTGAAAAAATTTCATTCTATTTTACATCTTACAGGAACAAAATCTTCTACATAGTTTAAGAGTCCAAATACAGAAACAGAACAAAATAAATATGTAGTATTATAAGGAAAACCATCGGCATAAGCATGACCAAATGCATGCATTGCATGCACTCTAGAACATAACATGCAAACTTCCTCGTTTACTGTACATAGCCAGTCACGCTTGCACTGAAAACTGTTTTTAGCTAACGAATGTTTCGTATCCTACCTGTAATCTCGTCTTTACGACTTCCAGGGGACAAGTTAAAGTAGCACCCACTGTTCCTCCAATCCTAGAGAAAGGATTCAAACTTATGCTTAAATTCGTCTTACAAATGTTTGTATCAGGGGAGCGTTCCCTCAGCACTGAAGCATTTCTAACGAAGCGCGCCAACAAGTTGTAAACAAGACGAATATGAACTATTTGAGATTTTAAATGAAAACCTACATAATCACAACACATGATATGTACAGAATTGCCCTCACAATAAAAATTGAAAGCATAAATGAAATTGGAAAACTGAAAAGCGCTTATTTCAGAGGAAATTCACAAAAACAGTCACTCGCTTCGCGTGCCTTGGCGTGCACTAAGAAACTCCGTATATAAGCTTACTTAGTGGCCCCGGTATCTGTTTCAACCTTAAGCATCGCAAAGTTAATTAGTTCTTGTACAGCATAAGTTCTTTCTAATATAAGCATCTCCAAAGATCTTTAATACTGAGAACTACTCCAAAACAAGCCACAAACGTAAGCCTAGCCTGTAAACATTCAACGTAATGTCGTACAGCATGTTGTGGAATAAATCGCTTCCTCCAACGAAAAAACTTTCTGTCAACAACGTACCCTCCTGCCAACAGATGAACATACGAAGAATTTCCAGCGGACATGCTCTTTTTGTCGTGAAAAAAACTGTTTGTACCACAATCGACTTCCAAAGCACTGGTCATTGAGAAGAAACGGACATTGTACTCAGTTGTGTTGTTGCGCTGTGTTTTTCCGATGTTGCTTACTACTCCATCACATGGCCATTACACGGGATCGAGTGATAACTTTAATTTGATTGGTCATTCAATTAGTTTCACGTGCTCCACATGCATTGATTTCCCTGTCTTTGGCAAACGTTCATGACTTACCACGTGAACATCGTGACATTTTCCTACTCAGTAGGGGAGGGTAATTTTTCTGGTTTTGTTCTCGGTTGTCGTGATTTCGTGAGCAAATGCTCATACGTGAATATGCCGTCTTAGAGAAAATTACCTCAACAGTTTCAAAGAGCTGCCTTTTGGAAGCAATTTTTTTGCATTTTTTGTAAAAAGCTGTAGTTGTTTTATGTGTAAAAGTGCCTTTGTTTTATCTACTTTGCGAGTGATGGGCGTGACTGGGGGTGAGTTTGGGGGCAGCCGGGGGGTAGGTCCTTCTGTTGGGCCAGGAGCCAAAATCAACGCAGATTGCGACATTTTAGCGTAACTAGGGTAATACAACGGCCGGTCTTCCTTGAAAATACCCTGTCTCCAGAGGTCCGGTCTTCGTCGCGAACCATCAGTATCGATAAGAAAAAAATATCCTCTGGAACCCAGGGTACTGTGAAAATGGGAGAACGTAAGAACTGCTTACGTGGTTTTTCAGACGTAGAATGCTGATGCAACTGATCACGTCAAGTTTGCGTGTTGAGAAAATCCTTGAATGTGATTGGTTACTTCCCACGCCAAAGGATTAACGAATTTTTTTCCTCTATCCAGGCCAAGCACGGAAGAATAACAACTGCTTGAGATTTAGTAAACGAAAATCAAGAACATGAGTCAATACTACTCTAGTTTTCATGTATATGTTGTACAAAAACATAAACCACTGAGTACGTACTCAAATAATTTGATAAGTAGGTTGAGTATGATCGTACGGGTGAACATAGTCCGGCCTGAAGTCGACAACCAAATAATTTGGTTCAGAATTTCCTTTGTTTCCTAAAAATTTAACTTTTCATTTAAAAAACGAAATTCTGGTCTAACCTGAGAGCGGATATTAAAAATATTACTGACGTATACAACAAAGAATACACTGAATGGATTTCGTGACTACTTTATAAGCAGGAGCCCATCACCTACTGGTATTTACTCGAATAAGCGCCGCATTTGGGATAAAGAAGTTCATAACACCGCCCTCGAATAAGGGCCACGGCCCTCAAAAGACGTTAATTCTGCTGGTTTTTACGGAAAATAATAAAGAAACCCGTTGTTAATGCAGTTTTTTATTGCGTTCAACTTTCAAACAAACGCCGCCCTCAAATAAGCGCCGCACTTGAGGAGCACCACGGCGCTCATTCGAGTAAATACGGGTTTAAAAAACAATACACGTTGTTTTAAATCAGCTTTGCAGTAGTCTTTGGACTTCTCGTTCTTGGTTCTTTATATTTTGGCTGATTAGATCTCTTTTCTAGAGATCCAACGTTTACAACTAGCAGGATCTTCGTCCACGGTTTTCGCAGTTAATTTAATCCTATATTATACGGTACTGTTTTTTTCTGTTATAGGATATTTGTCATCACTGAGATGCATAGTAGATAATCATATATGAAAGACATTTACAAAAATGAGAAGACAGAGAGATAACAAGAAAAAAAGAAATTTTAAAAGACAACAAACAAACAAAAATAGTTATACACATATTCGAGTTCCTCTCATAAGATTATATTGATGTCAAAATTTGACAATTAGTGAAATAACACATCAAATGGACTATCTTTAATCCCTACTGAGATATTTATGTTGTGCCTTTTAACAGCTTATCAAAGCGTTTTTTGTTTTTGCTGCAAAACGCCATTGTCATTTCAACTGCTTTAAGGGCTTTAAATAGTTCAGAGATTGACAAATTGATTTATGTCCATGATTGATTGGGAGTTTGCAGGAGCTTTTGTTGTTTGGGCGAAAAACTAAACTGGACTGGGCAAACTTAAGCAAATTTTGATTAAGGTAAGAAAAGTCCTCTAAATGTCTCTAAAACGTAGTTCAGGATACTGGGATAACTCTGTGTAGCTCCAAGTAAAAAATGAATCGCCGGTACATATTTCACTGTGTTCCCAAAGACATGTATTGCCTAGTAGTAATTCAAACCTGCCGTTTTTTAGTTTGATGATATGACTTCGATTCGTGATCGAAGGTGTCGGCAAAAAGGCGCCAACGCACGCAACGAAGTTGAAACGTCTAAAAAGGCCTTAGTTTTACAGTCTCTTCCTTACATTATGATTAACACGCATGACGTGGCTTCGTGCAAGCACGACTCAAGATATGAGGAGCCGATTCATCGTGTGGGTGACGGGTTTTGAATTGACGGCCCTCGAGCCAGCTGACTCGGAAAAAGATACACAGCCATATACAACGATTCTAATTCAAACTCAGTCACTGCACTGAACCTCATCTTTTAATCCTTGCTTTTCTTAGAGCTCGTTTCAAATGTTTACAATGGCAGATCACTCGCAGAGCAGTACTGAACGCCAACTCATTTTGTCAATTTCCCTTACAGTCTTTTGAGTCAACAAAAGGCAATGATTTGCACATAAAAAAACCTCTTATTCAATTAGTCGGAAGGGCAAACTGCAAACACATGCTTTGAGCCGAATATATTCGACGAATATTGCCAGACAAAAAGTCAACAGGAAAGCGGATCGAAGTATTTGCACAATTTTTTGGTCCGTCCATGAACAGGGACGGCGCCGCCCAAGTCGAGCCTTAGACAGAATTCATGGATTTCAAGGTTTTTCATTTTTTGTTAAGTTAACATGAAAGTTACTAATCTCGCATTATGTTTTCCTCTTTGAAAAAAAAAACATATATTTGAGTTATTTTTAGTGTTGATGGATATATATATATAGATGCAATTTGTTATCCTTATTAATGCTTCTAGACATGGGGGGTCGCTTAGGTCAGACTACACGTAAACAGAAGAATTTTATAGCTGTAGGCGGAGTCTAGAGTTTACATGGTAATATCCCCAACCAGTTCTTTCTAAAGTCAGAAAGTAGTCTCAGGTTAAGAAAACAGAAGGATTGTATGGTAAGATCAGGAAGTTGAAAACTGACAGAAGGATTTTTAAAATAGCTGAGGGTACGGGTGGAGTCTAGATTTTATACTGAGATAATATCCCCATCTAGTTATTCTCGAAGTCAGGGAATTTAATACATCGCTCTTTCGTCCCCTTTTCTTTTTAAAAATTTCTTACATTTTGAATAGCTATTGAACAGTTGGAAAAGTTATCAGTAGTGAGCTGCAAATAAAGATCTTGAGCACGAACTGTCAAGAACTAAGTAGGAACCAGAGTTTCCCCCCGACAAGATTTCTATTGTAGTTTTGAAAATTCCACCTGTGCTACTAATATATTAATTATGGAAAAGAGTAAAAGAGTTTAGAAAGTTAGTTCGATTGATTTGGTGAACTGTGTTTATCCTAGATTGTAGAGGTAGCTTAGTCCAGAAAATAAAACTGTGTCGCTGAAATTACTTATTCGTTTTCCTTGGAATGTAAAACAATCAGAGTTGAGCTTAATTAGGTTTTTTTTCCGCGCTGACAGTATAAGAAAAGAGCCAAAAGTCTTTCCTGTGTACATGGTTAATGATGAAATCTGTTTTTACATTTGCCTTTGCGTTGTGTCGGTTCACTCATGTGAAATGCAAACGCATGTGCAAATACAATCGCAAGGAAATGAAACATTTTTCATTTCTTGCGTTGGCGCTTGCGTTTGCGTTTGCATTTGCTTTGATGTAGTTCACAGGTGTATTTTCTTGCGTTTGCATTTACGTCGCACGTGTGAACCAAGCTTAAAATGAGTTATTAGGGCCATTTATACGAGGAAAAATAAGACGCGTCTTAAATAAGACGCGAACTGTACCATTTATACGAGCATGTCTTATCGAATAAGACGCGTCTTAGCTAAGCCGCGTCTTATTTTAGACGAAATGTGCCGTTTATACGGAAAGTTGGCGTCTTATTTAAGACGCGTCTTATGTAAGACGCGTCTTATTTTTCCTCGTATAAATGGCCCTAATGTCATTTTCCCTTTGCAACTTGCACGCTAGCAAGGACTGTACGCTTTGCGGCCTGTGTATAGAGTGTTTTCACATGACGTCACGGCGTCCACATTCGTGTCCCAAAACAATATTACAGCGACCGTGGTGGTGTTCCAAACCAATCCGCTGAGATAAGCCTTTTTCTTATGTAAAAACTTTCTTTTGTTACAAAAAATCTGTATTACTGCTAACCAAAATTCGAAAACCCTCCATGGTCAATTTTCTCTAAGATAGGGGAAAGAAAAATGTCTAAAGAACGACAGGAATTTTAGGGGTGTCCTTTGAAATTATTTTTTAGCCAAACGTATTCAGGCAGCTTTTTTTGTCAATAATTTACACGGAAATGCTAGCCATTTAGCAGATAATCGCTTCTTATGTAGTCCTCTGTATAATCCGCTGAAACATCGTTTGACTATTTGTTGCTCAACAAACCGCTGCATCGATATTGCAGCTTATTAATTGAAAAAGTGGAAAACATATTCTTTATTTTTAAAAGACTGACTGTTGTTGTGCAGCAAGTTGCAACTTGTTGAAAGGAATACCATTTCTATTCTCGTTGAAAAAACCCGAACAAACGGCTAGCGATAAACTGCATGACTAACAACTGATGAATTCAGTGTTTTTAAAAGATTGACTGTTGTTGTTCAACAAGCTGCAACATGTCGAAAGGAGTACATTTTTATTCTTAAACATGTGGAATTGCCTTCACAGTTGGCATGACACACTGTTCAGCCTTTGTTTGGAAGAATTTGTTGATCAACAAGTGTTTAACTATAGTTCGTGTCATTCGCGATCAATGGAAAATATGTCAAGCATTCTCTAGCCTTCAGCTAATGTTATTTCAGTGTTATTGAAGCGAAACAAAGAACCCATACAGACTCAGGTTAATCT